TTCTATGGCCATAAAACATAAATTAGACATTGGTTTATGTGAAAAAAAACAGTTTGCAGGCAAATCACGGCTGAGAATTTTCCTCTTTGGTAGCACCCTCTAGAGGCTTCACCTATCTCCTGCACACTATCCCGCACTTCTATAGATGAAGATATACACTGATCAGCCATAACATTATGACCACGTGCCTAATATTTAGTAGGTTCCACTTTTGCCACCAAAACAGCCCTGACCCATCAAAGCAATGGACTCCACTAGACATCTGAAGGTATGCTGTGGTATCTGGTACCAAGTCGTCAGTAGCAGATCCTTTAAGTTGTGAGGTGGGGCCTCCATGGATCGGACTTGTGCTTCAAGCACATCCCACAGATGCTCATTTGGAATGAGATCTGGAGAATTTGGAGGCCAAGCCAACACCTCAAACTCATCGTTGTGTTCCTCAAACCATTCGTGAACCATTTTTGCAGTGTGCTAGGGCGCATTATGCTGCTGAAAGAGGCCACTGCCATCAGGGAATACCATTTTCATGAAGGGGTGTACTTGGTCAGCAACAATGTTTAGGTTGGTGGTACGTGTCAGAGTAACATCCACGTGAATGGCAGGACCCAAGGTTTCCCAGCAGAACATTGCCCAAAGCATCACGCGTCCTCTGCTGGCTTGTCTTCTGCCCATATTGCATCCTAGGCCCATCTCTTCTCCAGGTAAGGAACACACACGCACTCGGCTATCTACAGGATGTAAAAGGAAATGTGATGTCAGACAAAGCCACCTTCTTCCATTGCTCCATGCTCCAGTATTGATGCTCAGGTGCACATTGGAGGGGCTTTTGGCAGTAGACACAGGTCGGCATGGACACTCTGACCGGTCTGCGGCCGCCCAGCCCCATAAACAAAACAAACTGCGATGCTCTATGTGTGCAGACACCTTTCTATCAGAACCAGCATTAACTTTTTCAGCAATTTGAGCTACAGTAGCTCTTCTATTGGATTGGACTACATGGGCCAGACTGCCCTCCCCATGTGCATCAAAGAGCCTTGGACGACCCTGTTACCAGTCCACCGGTTTTCCTTCCTTGGACCACTTTTGGAAGGTCCTGACCACTGCAGACTGGGAACATCCCACAAGTGCTGCAGGGTTGAAGGTGCTCTGACGCATTGTCTAGCCATCACAATTTGGTCCTTGTCACAGTCACTCAAATCCTCACACTTGTCCATTATTTCTGCTTCCAAAACATCGACTTCAGAGACAAAATGGTCACTTGCCTAATATATCCCCCGACTTCCAGGTACCATGGTAATATATCCCCTGCACTTCCAGGTGTCATTGTAACATATCCGCCCCACTTCCAGGTGTCATTGTAATATATCCCCCCACTTCCAGGTGTCATTGTAACATATCCCCCCACTTCCCGGTGTCATTGTAACATATCCCCCCCCACTTCCAGGTGTCATTGTAATATATCCCCCCCACTTCCAGGTGTCATTGTAATATATCCCCCCACCCCGCCCCCTGCAGTGAACATAGAGTCTGGCTGCGATCCTGCGCCGCTGGCTGGGTGAGTCAGAGAGCCGCGGGGGGGGGAGGGGTTGCGAGGGTTATGTGCTTTTGTTTCATTCAATTAGAAAAGTGGATTATAATGGGGAACGTTACACTGTACACCGGCTACTTATTTGCAGAAAATGTGAACTATTTAAATGTTTTAAAATGTAATTCATAATGGGTATATTGCCCTCATAATGCTCTTACAGGGTTTGGAATTGGGTACATGGAGACTTCAGGAACTCTATTGCAGCACCTTGCCAATGTTTTCTCCCTGATCTGACACTCAGTTGAGCTCGGCACGCCTGCCCTGGGCTCCCTGAATGACATAAATCTATATAGAATATCACATCTGGTGCCCATGTTTGTCTACAAAGCTAAAGTGCCTGTGATGGATTTTTCTGCATGAATAGAGTTGGCTGAAATTGCACCATCAGCAGAGTTCAGGACAGTGCAGACAGCATTTTTATTTTCTGTGTCGTCTTCCATTCTTTAGCCTCTTGATTGTGCCGACACAGTTGGCGCTGTTGCTTGAGGGCGATCGGTGAAATGGTCTGACTACAGCCAAAAAATATGGATATGAGTATTACATGCCAATGAATTTCCCAGATTCCAGCAGCCTTATTTAATAAAGTCTTATGCTCATTTATTATTAAAGCAGTCTAGCAAGGCACCGCACAGGCTGACTTCAAGGTAATAAAATTGCTCAATAAATAGGGCAGCCCACCACTAGATGTCCTCAGTCTGGCCGGCAATATTCAACCCACTTCCTGCAAACCTGGGCTGTCGTGGACCCACCCACAGCCTATGACAAAGCAGCACATCAGCATGTTTTTGTCAGCATATGAACTAATTGGCTCCTTGTGCTGCTTTTCCGTCTCCCACTCTGAGCTCTGCTGTGCAGGGAATGCAAAAGTGTGATATCTTTTAAATTCTGGGACCCTAAGGTACACTGCATTACATTTACTGATGTATTAATGATTACAGATCTGCTTTAATGTGTGTAATTTATATTTGCCTGGAGTTCATTGTTAATGGCCCCCTTCCCAGTAACATATTTATTTTCCTGTTGCTCCACCAGCAAGAAATGACACCCCTGTGTTCGTAAAATTTCCATTTCCATCTCTCTCCCCATCCTTGTGTGACAGCGCTGACACCATTCAATTGTCGACTCACTGGAGTTGTAGCTTACAATTAGCTAGGGACCTCCCATGTGACACCACCGATTGGCCCAGCGCTGTCACATGGCTGAGTCACATGATCCTCCATAATTTGACATACAGGAAGTCCCCGGGTTACGAACAAGATAGGGTCTGTAGGTTTCCAGCCCCAAAACATTTTTTTAGTTTTGGATAGCATAGGGAAGGGTTAACCCCCTGTAACATTTGTTTTGCTGTCCTCACAGTGACTCTAACCCCACACCATACTAATCAAAACTAAAAAAATTAAATTTGCATTGAGTTCTACTTTAAATGCAACCTGAACAGATGTTTGTACAATTTCCTGTAATGTACAGTACCTGACCCGGAAAAAAAGGCAGGCACTCCTCGTCTGCACTTCCTGTAATGTACAGAAGGTACAGTACTACGAATCAGACCCCCTCCTCGTCTGCACTTCCTGTAATGTACCGGAGGTACAGTACTACGAACCAGTCCCACTCCTCGTCTGCGCTTCTTGTAATGTACAGGAGGTACAGTACTACGAACCAGACCCACTCCTCGTCTGTGCTTCTTGTAATGTACAGGAGGTACAGTACTACGAACCAGACCCACTCCTCGTCTGTGCTTCTTGTAATGTACAGGAGGTACAGTACTACGAACCAGACCCACTCCTCGTCTGTGCTTCTTGTAATGTACAGGAGGTACAGTACTACGAACCAGACCCACTCCTCGTCTGTGCTTCTTGTAATGTACAGGAGGTACAGTACTACGAACCAGACCCACTCCTCGTCTGTGCTTCTTGTAATGTACAGGAGGTACAGTACTACGAACCAGACCCACTCCTCGTCTGTGCTTCTTGTAATGTACAGGAGGTACAGTACTACGAACCAGACCCACTCCTCGTCTGTGCTTCTTGTAATGTACAGGAGGTACAGTACTACGAACCAGACCCACTCCTCGTCTGTGCTTCTTGTAATGTACAGGAGGTACAGTACTACGAACCAGACCCACTCCTCGTCTGTGCTTCTTGTAATGTACAGGAGGTACAGTACTACGAACCAGACCCACTCCTCGTCTGTGCTTCTTGTAATGTACAGGAGGTACAGTACTACGAACCAGACCCACTCCTCGTCTGTGCTTCTTGTAATGTACAGGAGGTACAGTACTACGAACCAGACCCACTCCTCGTCTGTGCTTCTTGTAATGTACAGGAGGTACAGTACTACGAACCAGACCCACTCCTCGTCTGTGCTTCTTGTAATGTACAGGAGGTACAGTACTACGAACCAGACCCACTCCTCGTCTGTGCTTCTTGTAATGTACAGGAGGTACAGTACTACGAACCAGACCCACTCCTCGTCTGTGCTTCTTGTAATGTACAGGAGGTACAGTACTACGAACCAGACCCACTCCTCGTCTGTGCTTCTTGTAATGTACAGGAGGTACAGTACTACGAACCAGACCCACTCCTCGTCTGTGCTTCTTGTAATGTACAGGAGGTACAGTACTACGAACCAGACCCACTCCTCGTCTGTGCTTCTTGTAATGTACAGGAGGTACAGTACTACGAACCAGACCCACTCCTCGTCTGTGCTTCTTGTAATGTACAGGAGGTACAGTACTACGAACCAGACCCACTCCTCGTCTGTGCTTCTTGTAATGTACAGGAGGTACAGTACTACGAACCAGACCCACTCCTCGTCTGTGCTTCTTGTAATGTACAGGAGGTACAGTACTACGAACCAGACCCACTCCTCGTCTGTGCTTCTTGTAATGTACAGGAGGTACAGTACTACGAACCAGACCCACTCCTCGTCTGTGCTTCTTGTAATGTACAGGAGGTACAGTACTACGAACCAGACCCACTCCTCGTCTGTGCTTCTTGTAATGTACAGGAGGTACAGTACTACGAACCAGACCCACTCCTCGTCTGTGCTTCTTGTAATGTACAGGAGGTACAGTACTACGAACCAGACCCACTCCTCGTCTGTGCTTCTTGTAATGTACAGGAGGTACAGTACTACGAACCAGACCCACTCCTCGTCTGTGCTTCTTGTAATGTACAGGAGGTACAGTACTACGAACCAGACCCACTCCTCGTCTGTGCTTCTTGTAATGTACAGGAGGTACAGTACTACGAACCATACCCACTCCTCGTCTGCACTTCATGTAATGTTCACGTTAATAACTCCATGTTCATGTTAATAACTCCAATGTGGGTTTCAGAGACACGTCTTGTCATTGACCAAGTGACAAATATTCAGATGTGTTTTTTCTTACAACTTTTTGGTTCTCCGACAGATCACGAAGCTGAAGGCTGAAGCTCGCCTGGATCTTCTGCGACAGATCGGGGTGTCTGTGGACACGTGGTTAAAGAGCGCCATGAACCAGGTGATGGAAGAACTGGAGAACGAGCGATGGGCCAGCCTTCCAACCTTGATCAATAACGGATCATCGCACTTGGTAACCCTAACACTGTGTTTCTTGCTGAACAACTGACCTTTATGACCAATACAAAACAAAAGCTATGCTAAAGCTATGGGTACATCGATGGTGGGGGGCTCTTGGTATACCTTCCTTCAGCACTTGGTGAGTCTCAGGGGCTCCTTGTCACTGTTAGGCCTCATTTACACACAACGCAAGCAAAATTGTATATTGCGTATATACGCATCTATGCGCGTATATGCGTGCACTATATGCAATCCCAGAATGCATCACTCGTAATTGAATTTTTAATGTGTTATACGCAAGTACGCGCGTAAATACGCAGAGATACGCTGCCCAGACGCATCTCTGTTCCATTCTGTTTTTGCACATATATACGCTACGCAAATATACGGTTCTATACGCGGCTGTGTGTATGGAGCTATTTATTTGCATAGGTGGCATATGGTACAATACGCACGTACGCGCGGCAGTGTGAATGAGGCCTTACGCAGGGTACACGCTCATCAACTTTCGGTCAGTTCAGCCGGTGGAGGGAGTAAGGGACAGTGACAACTGTTTAAGGTTACGTTTCCCTTCATTTTCAGGAGATTTCTGCTAATTTCCTATTGTGGGTCTGGGGGCAGGAAGTGCAGAGAAATCTAACGTGGGGGGGACACAGAAATAAAGCCGAGTCTCCAGGGAAATTTTAAATGCAGTGTTACAAGAACATAAAGTTTACTTCAGGATAAAACTGCATCCACAATTCTTTGCAATCACTCCGCACTGGAACTCACGGCTTTGCGGTACCACGCAGCGCAGGCGGGTGGCACATTTGGGGTGCCACTGAAATGAAAGGCACATCCCGCAACTGAATTTGTCAGGGCAAAAACGAGAATTACTTTTTCTCTTCTTTATTTTATATTTTTTTTAATAATTGGGGAATGGGGTAGGGGGCTTCATTTCTTCTCTCCTTTATTTTTTTTTACTATTTTTTTAATCTCTTTTTCTGCAGCCCCAGCACTCAATGAACAGCAAGCACTCTGTACAGAGGCTTCCTGTTCATTCATTAATCGAGGCGATAGTAAGCCCATCCTGTTCATACATCATTGGGGAAACACTATCTGAATACTATGCACTGACTAGTGCAATGTTTGAATATTACAGGGAACGATCAGCAAATATTTCACATATTTTCTGATCGTCCTGCAGCTCTCCTCCCCGCTGGCCACTGGCAGGTGGATTGGCTGTTGTGCTCTCCGATCTCCGCTGCCGTTAGAGGCGGGGGAAAGCAGCAGGGATCTGAGGGGACACAGACCGCAGCGGACTCCCAGCGTAGAGGAGGAAGCTGCATAGGCATAGGGGGGTTTTGGTTGTTCTTTCCTCACCACTGGGCACCGAGCCGATGAACACCAGGTCCCCGCATGGAGGAGTGAACTAGGGAACCCAGGCCAACTAACCGATAATGAGAATCTGTGCCAACTATTCTCATTACTGATTATTAGCGATTTAGTTGGTTGCAGCCCTAACCCAAAAACAACAACAACAAAAAGTTTTGGCTTCAGTTGTCTTTTAACAACTGCTGAGACTGCTATGAAGGGTGTGCATTGGTTTTAATGAGTCAGCCAACTTGCATTCCATAAACTTTTGGCTTTAGATGTACTTTAAGCAGTCAGCAATTGTCAATCTTGTTTGCTCACATCGGGAAGTCAGGACACATGGGGCCTGCAGCGTCATTACTGAATACTGGCTGTCGTAAAGCTTCTCTGTTTTGTGAGTTTTTATTGCGTCCCTTTGTATAATTGGCCTCCATTTTTCACCAACTGTTCCAGCTTTGCCTGTGTTTATCAGTCCCTCTAGACTATTGTCACACGCAGACATGGTTGTGTCCCAGCGACTTCAGTCGCCCTACCAACTGGCTCCCTCGCTCCAGACACTCTTCCACAATCAGCCGTATGGTGCCGGTTACAGCAGCAGGTGCCAAGGAATGCGAGCAATTCAGAGCGTTTTGTTTACTGCCATCTGGTCATCACGGCACAATCTGTTTATTTTTCACAAAGAGCGCAGTCATAAGAAATATTTACATCCACCATGCGTTTTGGAGACGTTGAGTTTTCAGCAGATGGATGAAGCTTGCGTAGCATTTTTTTCTTCATTGTGCATTTCATAAACCGTTAGCGTTTCAGGACAGCGATCAATGTGCTGGTGTTCTAAAAGAACCATAACTAGATATTTACTAATAATTGTTATTGTATCAAAATACAACATTTATTTATTTTTAATTTTGGAACGAGTGGTGAAGGGTCATAACCCCCATTAGGGTTTTTATTGTTGTCTGGTCCCCACTGGGGAGATTAGCTCTTTGTCCTGGTGACCATTGTGGACAAAAAAAAAACCCTAAATTTGGAGTTGCCATCAGAAGAAGAATAGAAGTGAACTCTTCCAGTGGGGACATATGTTCCACGTTAGACATTTGTTCTCAAGAAGTGACCTCATTCACTTTGGAAACATCCTCTAACTTCCTGTCTACTGGATAGACAATGCAGGGAGAGCTCTGGAATGGTGCACAGATGGCAGAAAGTAATCATGACGGGAGTTATAAGCATTCCCTATTCAGTCCAACATTATAGAGTACCTCTGTTTGCTTGTATATCAGCCTCCTGGAATCCTGTGCACAATGATACAGGCTGAAAACAATCTGAGCCTAGTTGGACTCTTCTAGAACCCGCTGATAGGTGAGGAAAGCACAAGGATGACCCCATCTATGAGCTGCTTCTTCTTCACTATCCAATTACAGGCAGAGGGCGGGTCCTTGACCAAGCCATATTACTTTGACTGCAATGAAGTAAAGTGAGGTCAAGGATTTAACTGTGCTGTACATTAGTCGGAATGCAACTTCTTTTAAAGATTTATTGTTTTCATCAAAGTTCCTTCCGAGTTCATTTTGGCACCTTCTGGCCTGCAGTTGACCTCCATCTGGCCTGCAGTTGACCACCTAAGGACTGCTGGACTGTTTTTGCACTCCAATTCACTTTTAATGGAAAATTAAGGGGTTCTCATGGGAACAAAGCTTGTGTACACAAGCCATAAATCCATGGTGCTGCAACCACAAAATATAGATGATGAAAGGAGACCTGTGTTTCTATAAGTACAGGTTTTCAGTATGTGGTCAGTCTACCCAAACCTGATATTTCAGTGTCTGGTAGATGTTCAGAAGTTTAAATTGCCTAACAGTTTCTTGTATCTTTTGAGGACCCAAGTGACATGATCTCCACACTTGACTTCCCAGGCTTGTGCATCCACTGCTGCCATTGCAAGGATGTCCATCTCTCCTATCTGGATTTACTATTATCCAGCTCCTTAGTCTCCACAACAGAGCCCCATAAATAAAAGGAGTGTGTCATGTTACAAGTATGCTAGCTGCCACTGCTGGCCTGTCTTGGAAGGTGCTTAATGGCTCGTATACATCATTCCTGGGGGAATCTCTTACCCAGTTGTCCTGACACCTGATATGCATTATGCTTATTCCAGATCAGTTACTCACATGCAAGTGAAATAAGTGTAACATTTACAGTATTGAAACTCAAATTTACAAAAACAACTTGGCATTGGCACCTTGGATATTCCTGACATGACGGGTTCTATTAAAAAATAGAATGTGAGTAACTGGGGTTCTGTTCTTTAATACTCAGAAGCTGGGAGACATTGCATCATAATCACAAGATCAGGCAATTGTCAGGGCAACAGCTGCCAGACCTCTGGAGGTCTCTCAGCTCCAGGTACATGCAAGTAAAGCTATATCGGGGGTAAATCTAGATCTTTTGTAAGTTATGATAGTTTGAACCAAATATTCATATATAATAAGACGGTTTGTGAGTGATTTCTCTTTAAAGCCTAACTCCAAGTTACCTGGCGCACTCCTCTTCATCTTTTTACAGTTATATGTACATGCTTATTCTTTAGGGGGTCTTTAGTCTGGTCATGTAATGTCATGGTTCCTTTTCTTCCAGTGGTGGGAGAACTGTAATGCTGCCACATAATGATGTTCTCCTGTTAGTCCAGGGTGGCCTGATGACATACCCTCAGGGGACGGGTCCTTGACAACCTGGGTTCACAGGAAGAGCGCTGGGTGAACGACTCCGTACATCATTCTGTTTAGAAGACCAACAGCAGGAGGAACATTGAGCCTTTGGGGACAGCATTGGTGAGGATATAAGTATTGCAGTCAGGGGCGTAACTAGAAATCACAGGGCCCCATAGCAAAATTTTGTATGGGGCCCTGTGATTTCTAGTTACGCCCACCTGTTATCCCAAACAACCCACCTGGTAGTGACCCTGCAGAGCCTACTATAGACTCTCTATGGTGAGCTCTGCAGGGTCTCAGGTGGGCTGGTCAAACCCTCTTACCTGTCAGCCCCAAACGCTCTCTGCCTCCTCCGTCGCCGGGCCCCGCCTCCTCTGCTGCTGACCCCAGACTCCTCCTCCACAGCTGCTGGCTGTCACTGACTCAGCAGCAGCTGTGAGGAGGAACGTGGCGCTGCGGCATATTCCTCCTCACAGCCGCCAGTGACAGCCAGCAGCCTGAGATGTCATAGCGACCCAGGCGGCCCACACAGCATCAGGGGGGTGTCCTGGCCGGGCCCCATAGCGGCCGCCTGTGTCGCTATGGTGATTGTTCCGCCACTGATTGCAGTGAAAAGTCAAGTTGTTTAAAAAATAAATTAGTTTAAATTGCTCACATAACACAGCAAGGGGGTTCTAAAGTGCAGGTCAAGGTTTTCCCAGGGCCAGGGAGTGTGACCTCTGCTACAAGCCTCTATAATACGTTTAAACATTAGACATTGTAGCTAATATAGGCTAATAGTCTGTGTGACGCATCGCTGAAAATCATCTGCCAGGTAATGGGAGACATTAGGCAATATACTTCACTGGTCTCGCTCTGTTAGCCATCCCATCCTCCGAACATGTAAATAAGACGTCTGGGTGGGAAGCCTCGTCTATTATCTGTCCAGCGTGCCGGGAAGTTGGTGCTGAAAATATACACTCTGCTTTGTCATTAACTTTGAGCTAAACTAGAATGTTCCATTATCTCCACTAAATGGCTTTGGTTGTCTTCTCTTTATAAATGGTAACTGTAGTTCTAAATAAAACATCCTTTACTTATAGGAAAAGCAACACAAAATCTCTGCTACCGCTCTGTAACATTGGTTGCAGACAGAGCTATATTTGTTTGAAAGAAAAAAAAATCAAGTCTTCTAACCATCTGAATGGAGCACAAGCACCTTCCACTGCTGAGGCGCAGGACATCTTTTACCACTGGATGTGCCAGGTGCAGCTAGTGAGTTTGAGTAGTGAGGTTTTAGATGCCTAGGCCCAGGGGCATCCCAAGGCCGGGTGTCACCCGGAGCGGAGACTGGGTGACACCCCACAGTGGTGCCATCGCGCATGTGCGGTCATCTAATCGAGGCCTGCAGGCGGCCATCTTGGTGATGGATGCTGGCATAGAGAGGAGGGGGCGTTCACCCGGCGGGATGAGGCATGCCGCCCGGGCCCCTCTTCTCTCCTGACACTGTCAGGCTCTCGCTCCTCCCCGTGCGCCTTACTTTTTAGAGGGGGTGACACGAAAATAACTGTCAGTCATTTGGGTGTCACCCCTCCAATGGTGTCACCCGGGTGCGGGCCGCACCCCCCTTGTGACGCCACTGTGTAGGCCAAATTCCCAGCTAGGCCATTGCCCGTGTGCGGCTGTAAACTTGACAATAACTCTTTATACTTATCTGCCTACCTAAATCAATTTTCTAAGGACATAAAAGGTTTTGATTTAGAGCGTTTTAAAGGAGAACTATGGTGTTAAGGCTTTTCCCTATAGTTCTCCTTAGGGTAACGGGAGGACACAAACTAGCGTCCTCGCGTCACCCTAGGCTCAGTATACCGCGAGCTACAGCTTGACAATTATGTCTGGATCCGCCCAGCTGCTTTAGGACAGCTGGCTCTGCCTATCTAGAGGCAGAGCCAGCTGTACCCGCCCCCTCCCCCGTCCATTCCGCCAGTCAGCGCTGTCTGATTGGAGCGGGGGGGAATCCAGCCCCTCCCCTGTCACGGCAGAGAGCTGTGACAGGATCGGGAGATGAGCGAACCCGGTATGTGTTCACTCACTTCCCAATCTACTGAGCCGACCTGTGACAGTCTCATTGTCACAGGTCGGCTAGAACTATGAGGTGAGTGAAAAGCACTCACCTCATAGTTCTCCTTTAAGAAATACCTTGTTCTGTTTTTTTATTATATATTTTATTGAAAAATGCACAGTAATGTAAACAACATATATTCTTTTCTTTTTTTTTTTTATAATGTATTTTTTTCTAATGTGGTAGCTGTATCTGACGATTACAGTATAAAATGAAAGCACATTGCCACCTTAAGGGCCTGTTCACACGACGTCCGTTTTCTGTGCTGACCTGATCCGTACACTCCTGCACTAAAAATGCATCCCAATGTATCCCTATGTCTTTTATGGGCTACAGTTCTCACGTGCGCAGTCCGTTCAGGTTACAACAGAAAAATACTGCATGTCACATTTTGTACGGTCTGCAAACGCAAAACGCGTCAAAAACGCACTGCACTGCAGCTAACATACTGACAGCCCCACTCCAGCAAACAGACAAAAAAACATTTTTTTATTTTTTTTTAACTGGAACGCATCAGAAACACATAGCACCGCGTCTGCAGATCCGGACCTGATCAGAAACTCATATGAACAGGCCCTCAGGCTGCATCTGCATTTTATAAATAGTCTGGATGCAATCGCTGTCATATCGTAGTGATTGAACATAGTGGCTTGTAAGAATGTCACCAGCACTCCTGAAGTCCTTTCCGGGTTAAAGCAAGTGGTCATTTTTTAAGAACTATGTAAAATAAAGACTTCATTTGACATGGATCTTAATAAATGAACACTTAGTTATCCGGAAAGGACTTCTGGAGTGCTGGTGACATTCTTACAAACGATTCATGCAACAAGCGGTGCCATCCGCAGTCACTAATAGCACCCTTCCCTGCTATTGGGACATCCGGTGTGCAGGAGTGCAACAAGACCGCCGCACGTTCTGATGGGACATAATGATGACATGATTGGGAACCACTGACTGGGTGGGTAACAGAGCTGTCAGCGATAGCCGAGTCTACACGTACAGTGTCAGCTGCTACCCATCAAAGGTTAGACATGGATTAACACCCCCTCAGCTTTGGGAATTGTGAATGATGCGGAATAGAAGGGGATAAAGAGGGGTGGCTACCTTTTGCTCGCTTGTTTTTAAGGGTGCCAGTTTTGTTACTGCGGTCCTTTACCTTTAGCTTCAAAAGCACACAGACTGTAATGTCTGAACTTTGTGCTGCACTATTAGGTCAGTGACCCATTGGCATGTTTTTCTCGCTGTATCTTGTTTTCTATGTTTGCAATTCTAATTCTTCCAAAAATGACTATCTCAGCACATACATATTCCTCAAATCAACACATTCCAAGTCACACTTTTATTGGCATACTATAGAAGACATGTGCTTTTTGGAGCATAGCTGGGCAAACCTTACTGAAATATAATGGGGGTAAATTATCAAAACGAGAGCAGACAAAATCTGGAACAACCAATCAGCATCTCTCTTTAGTTGAGATTTGAAAATAAAAGACAGAAGCGGATTAGTTGCCATGCACAGCTGCTCGAGATTTTGTCTGCTCCAGACTTGATTAATTCCCCTCGTTTACAAACCTGTACATTTAGGCCCCATTCACACGTAGCGATTTATCGCGAGAAGTCGCCGGCTAATGATATTTAATGGAGCTGTCTTAGCTCCATGTCGCTTCTACAGGACCCTTTTTTCGGCGGATTTTGCTTTCTTCTAATGGAGCCCGACGGAGAAGGTCGCGCCACCGTCGCTGGAACATGGCCCCCCGAAAGTCGCGCTATCCCGGCCGCTGCAAAAGGTATGTCGATACGTGTGAATGGGGCCTTATCATTTAAAAATAAGGTTAGGATGTAATTCAGGGTTTTTTTTCATTTTTTGTTTACATGTTATAATCCACATTTTAAGCCTGAAAATTACTTAAAACCCCCAAACATTTTATATTTTCTGAAAGGCAAGACCCTATAGAATACAATGGTGGCAGTTGCAAATGTTTATATTGCACGATATTAGCGCAACTCCTTATCAAACCCCAAAATTTAGTGAAAAATGCACTTAAGTGCCCAAAAGCACAATAAAATAACATTTTTTTTCAATAAAAGAGGAGGTTACAACAAATAGATACCCGACATGCCCAGGTTAAAAATTGTGTGCATCCGTGAAACTGCGAAAAATTTCAGTACCCCACAAAAAGTCCATAGATGACACTTTAAAAGCCCCCACAGGTCATCAATTTAGAGATACGCGCAAATATTGCCCTGACAATTATTGCTCTCACTCTGGCGTGTAGCGCGATCGTCATCTTCATACGTAGACGCACCTGACGCGTGTTTACGTGAAGATGCGCGCGCTTGCGGGGTACTTTAAAAAAAAACTTTTTTGTATTTTTACATTTATTTTATTATTTTGAAAACTTGTTTGTTTTTTGTTTTTTTTTACTTTCATTTGTATCACATAGTGGGGGCTTACAAGCCCCCCCCATGTGATAGCATATTGGCAGTGACAGGTACTCTTTAAAGTGATATTGGGGGTCCAAAAGACCCCTAGTATCACCTTTACATTTGAAATAAGCTATTGAAGTGCAGATCACACTTCACTAGCTTATTGCTGGGCTTCAGGAGCCGAGCAATGACAGTTATGGGACCGGAAGTGATGTCATCTACATCGGTCCCATAGTATGGGGAGGAGATCGGTTGTTGATACCATATGGGTTTTGTATAAATAGATGCAATCGGTTAGTCTTGCTCCTCAAGGCTTTGACTATCCTCTGCTAACAATTGTGATCTGTTTTTATGGGTGTTCATGGGTATTTTAATGTTTTCTATGTTACTTAAAGCCTTGTAAAAATTTTTAAACTGGCTCAACTTTATTGAGGTTTATTCTCATCTCAGAAAGCCTATATATTCGTGTTTTGTGTATCCGTTTAGATTAGGGTGAGAGGAGAAGTTTTTGGGAGACCTCATATTTTTATTACCTGTTCATACTGCTGCACTGTGGTGCCATTCATTGTGAACAGATGACATTTAGTTTCCTTTGGTTTTTTTTATGAATGGCACCCCAACATGACGCACCCTTTAGCATTAGTTTCCCTGTAAATGGCACCCCAACATGACGCACCCTTTAGCATTCGTTTCCCTGTGAATGGCACCCCAACATGACGCACCCTTTAGCATTAGTGTCCCTGTGAATGGCACCCCAACATGACGCACCCTTTAGCATTAGTTTTCCTGTGAATGGCACCCCAACGTGACGCACCCTTTAGCATAGGTTTCCCTGTGAATGGCACCACAACATGACGCACCCTTTAGCATTAGTTTCCCTGTGAATGGAACCCCAACCTGACGCACCCTTTAGCATTAGTTTCCCTTTAATTGTCTCTTGGTATGTTTACAGGGAAATGCGGATCTGGAGAGAGACGATGGCGAAGAGATGGAAGACAGCATGGATGCCTATGATGACAGCAGCTCAAGTCCTTCTGGAACACTAAGGAATTATCCGCTAACCTGCAAGGTCATCTACTCGTACCAGGTTGGTGCTAGGCTCTCCCAAAGGTTCTTAACTAGGATATGGACTGTAAATTGTATGTCTTGTTTACAGTAGAAAGATTGACAACATAATTACCATAAGATTCACAACACGTGCTATTTCACCCTGTACTTTCTACAAATTTCTGCCGTTTATGGAAATTTGGAATACAAAGTTAGGTGATAGTGCTTCTCTGGCTTTAGGTGTGCTTTATAAACATGCAATGTGTTTTAGTTTTTTGTTTTTTTGTGTGTTTTGTTTATTTTTGTTTTTTAAAGCAGTTGTATGGCTGCACTATGGGCATACCACTGAATCTTGTATATAGCTCTTTAGTGTACTGTCACCTAGACCAGCTTTTCTCAACCAGGGTGCCGTGGCACACTGGGGTACCTTTTTGGCTTCCTCGGGGGCGCCTCAGTATTTTCTGATGGTAGGGCTCTGAAGTGAAGGGGGGACACTGATTTAAAAGGGGGGGGTTCCAGTATGAAAAGAGGGCTCCTGGTGTGGAGGGGAGGATTCTGATGTAAATGGAGGCTCCTGATTTGAAGGGAGGAGTTTGATGCAAAGGTAGGAAACCCACTTTTCTGTGTGTCTTTGCATGGGGTCCCCCCTAACATTTTAGGCTTGGGCATCAAGAGATTTTGCATACTTTTTAAGGGTGCCCTGAGTAAAAAAAGGTTGAGAAATGCTGACCTAGACACAAACTGTCTCCACATTCCCTGAATTCCATCATTGCCCTTTTTTCCCACTCAGTTCCTCCTTGATGGGTTGTCATTGAGGAGACCATGTACTGGTTGCCATTTTACTGAAGCCCCATGTGGTTCCATAGTTGCGCCATGGTGCTGGGCTCACAAAATGCTGTGATGGATAAACTGATGGGGCTTTATGCTGTTACAGCAATCTTGAGGATTACATTAGCTGGGCATTCGATGCAGCTTGCTCAGATTTGCTATTGAATGTTGTTGTAAAGCTTAAAAAAAAAAGCCATCGAGGTGAAAAAGTCAGTTTTGATAACGTGTATCGCACAACAGAGGAGCGGCATAGAAGGAAAGTAAACAGGATATAGATTTGATGTGATGGGTTGCCTCCCATTTCTCTTTGGCAAGGTCATAGAGATGGGGGTGATAATCGTCTTGTGTCTGTTCTGTATAAATCGCTCTCCTCTGAACACTCACCTCTTCTTCCAGTCGTCACAGCCCGACGAGCTGACCATAGAGGAGCATGAGATGCTGGAAGTTATAGAAGACGGAGACATGGAAGATTGGGTCAAGGTATTTACACTCTTGTGTACATTTATGGGCTGGTAGGGAATTTGTTTCTGGGTTCCCATAGACACGGTTTAATTCAAGGATAGGGATCTCTATTTAAAAACATTTACCGTATTTTGCGGTCCATAAGACGCACCGGACCATAGGACGCAGGGAGGTCCGGCGCGCCTTATGGAGCACTCGACAGACTGTAGCTTCTGACACAGCTTCTATGACAGAAGCTGCAGTTAGTGACCGCTGAGACAGGTGGCGCTGTGATTACAGCGCCACGGTCTTAGTGATCACACAGAGCAGACAAAGAAAGTCCGTTCTTCGTCTGCTCTATGGTGATCTCGATCGTCGCTGCTCGGTTTTAATACGAGTGATCTCATTAGATCACTCATATTGAACGAGCAGTGGCTCCTACTGCTGAACTTGATCGCTGCTGCTCGGCTTTAATACGAGTGATCTCATTAGATCACTCGTATTAAACAAGCAGTGGCTCCTACTACTCGCCCGAAACTGCATGTCTCGGGCGTCGGGATTCGCTCCATAAGCCGCAGGCACATTTTCCCCCCTTCTTTTGGGGGGGAAAAAGTGCGTCTTATGGAGCGAAAAATACGGTAGTTATGACAGTTGTATCCAGTCAGATTTAAGAATTACATTCACACAGATGAATAGAAAGATCCCTATCCTTGTGTAAAGCTGGTGAATTGGACCTCATGTGTTCTGCTGTCTAAAGCTGGCCATACACCTATAGATTATCTGCAGATGTTCTATGGTCAGATGGAAAAAGTGCAACAGATTCCTCCATCTACGCTAAACTGTGTGCATGGAGGAATCTCCCGCTGGGCCAAGCTTCAGTATCTTGCTAGTCGGCCCCGCTGGCTGTCAAAATACCTGAACAATCTGATTGCATGCAGGCATGGTTCAGGTATTTTGACAGCCAGCGGGGCCAATATTTCCATAGGCGATACTCCATGATAAAGGGGTACGCACTCAGCAGCTTGGAGAGATGGTGTACTTCCACTGACGCATTTTCAGGGTATTGATAAAGGGACAGTGCCTTCAAATGTATCACTGGAGGTACTGCGTTACCCCCACAAAGGCTGACCTGTTTCTTACCCTAACCCTAGTAACTGGCACCATCTGGGTTGCTAAAGTGGATCAAACCGCCAACAGAGCCTTTCGTTTTCTGTAACCCTGATAGCGTCATTGTTATAAGGGAGTTGATTGTCTGTCCTCATGGAGATGGAACAGCCAGATGCAAAGTCATCTCTTAGTTTGGTTGGGAGATTTGTTATTACAGACGACATCTGCTGATTGGTTGTCTTTGAAGAATACCTGCACTTTCAGACAAAAAGCCCTTATTCATCCTCTTTCTCTCCTAAAAAAAGAAATGGCTGATGGTCAGACACCTTCCTCCGGATATTGGGTGGTAAAACATCTGCATGTCCTCCAATCTGGCAATGCACTCTAATTTTTATTGGAAATTCAGACTCATACTCTGTATCGGAGAGAAGAGTCCCTGCAGTACAAGCATTATTGTCATAAAAAATAGCAGACATGGGTTGTATAGTTTATGTAGCATATGACATGCTGTGGGCTAGCCGTGCTTTGATTTAGGCAGCCTGTTTGTTTGTTTTTCACCTTGATGCAAACTTTGAATTGTCAACCCCTCCAGGCAAGGAATAAATCGGGTCAGGTGGGATACGTGCCTGAAAAGTACCTCCAGTTTCCCACATCCAACAGCCTGCTGAGCATGTTACAGTCGCTGGCTGCTCTGGACAGCCGATCTCACACATCCAGCAACTCGAACGACGCCGAGATGGTGTCTGGAAGTACGAACGGCGATGCAAGTGGTAAGCGGAATTTTCGGCAGCCACCAGGGTCCTGTCATTCACTTTCAAACCACTTTATTCCATGTTTGCTTTTTTCCTCTCCTTTATTTTCCCCTGGTGATCCTGCCAGTAACGCACTTCCTGTCCTAGGGGGGGCATGGCTCTCTACATCTATGGAGAAGAACAGATATAACAAAACCCTTTCAATCGTATATATAATAGCTGAAAAAGAAGCAGATAATAGAAGTTCCTCATTACTTACACTTAAGTTTTTTTTTGCAACAATTGAATGTGATGATTTTATTTTGAATCCTTTGGTAGAAGAGATAATATACGAGAAGGTGGAGTTTAATCCTGCGGCTGATTTCCCTTTTACCTACAAACGTCTCCTTCTCTCCTCCTGTGTGTCCCCAGTGTGTTTTGTGAAAGCACTTTATGATTACGATGGCCAGACGGAAGACGAGCTGTCGTTTCCCGAAGGAGCCATTATCCGGATCCTGAACAAGGAGAACCAGGACGACGACGGCTTCTGGGAGGGAGAGTTCAACGGTCGCGTTGGTGTTTTTCCATCGGTGTTGGTGGAGGAGCTGGTGGGGTCTGAGAATGGAGATTCCCAGTGGATAGAAGACATTCAGGTGAGGCGACATTCATTGTCTTTCTCTTGATTGCTACTGAATGCGTCATTTTACTATAGCAGACATGTCAAGTTTGTGTCATAGGATCACCATACACTTTACAATCTGGGGGTATCATTTTCGGGGGGTTTATTCCTCTTTTGGGTCAAAGGGATACAATTACCAATGTTCTCCTGTGACTTGAAGTCAGCATCTAACAGTGCTACTTGCTGACAGTACAGAGTTGTATTACAGCTGGGAACGATCCTGACAATATTGTGCGGATCCACCCGGCTGCCTGATTGGCAACTGACTCTGCCTCTCTAGAGCCTGAGCTAACTGGGCCCACCCCCTCTCTCCCCTGTCTGTCTCTCCAATGAGCACTGGAGGAATGGATAGGGGAGGGGTAATCCCTGTGGGGAGCGGTGACTATAGATCGAGAGCTGAGCGATCACGAACCACTGATCGCTTAGCTCTCAATCTTGAGAGCCGCTGCAGGCTCTAAGTATTGGGAAGAGTACATTATACTCTCCCAATACTATCTGCTTTTAGAATTTGCCAACTCTGACCAGATTTGGACCCTAGTTCTCTTACTATATATACTGGGTGAACATCAGCCAATAAGATCTATTTCATAGCAGTTAAATGAAAAAGTTAAAACCTGATTGTTTTGTGTTACATAATCACATTTGTAATCATGTTGGTGTCGTATGATATTTTGATTGCAAGAGCAGACTTTGTATACAGTATTAGTGTCTTCATGCAACTATGTTTGTTCTTCATTTACAGATATCCCCCTTACCTAAACCCCAGACGTTCCTCCCTCCTCTGCCGCTGTATGACCAGCCCCCCACCAGCCCCATATACAGTCCCGACAAGGCACGGGGCTCTCTGTACTTCCCCCGCTCCCCGTCTGTCACTGGTAAGGAGGAAACTGTGCAAAATGCATTTATGGGAACTGTTTTACCTGCTAGAATGTTTATTATGTAGCCAGTTGAACAAAACCCACACGCCTTACATATTGCCTAATTTGAAAGAAGCGTTGCTATGCAGAGTCAGCAGCTTTGTAGGCTCTTTATCGCCTCCTTGCATCTAATGTGCTCATAGTACTGTGAATGAGCATCACTACCCTGGTGCTGTCCCCCTTCTGTAATTTGCCTAAACGCATCTCATCTGTTACCGAATCAGTTCAAGAGGCAACATGAATCGGCTTCAAGAGGCAGATTGGCTAAGAGCATAGCTATGGCTATGTGGAAAGCATAGTAAGCTGTGTTGTCATTCTGGTATAAGTACTTCCTTCCATCTGTTCATTTCTTGTTTGTATACAAAGTTATTACAAAGTACATAGAACCATTCAGTTCAGACCAAGAGCAGCTCACAATCCTTACAAGCATCACAGGGACAGATTGGTCAGGTGCCAGTCTAGATACCTGTCTGGTTTTTAGTGGGTTTTCGGAAGAGCCAGAGAACTCCAATTAAGTCTGCAATAGCACAAGGAAAGCCTACTCCATGCAGACTGCATCTCCAGCGGGTTTAGAACATAGAGATTCAAGCCAAGAGTGCTGACCACTTATCCACCATGCCACCTCTAACACAGTACAACTCTTCAGCTGCAATTGTATGTCCAGCCAAATCTTCTATTATTTGTATACTGCATGGAAAGATTAGAATCCCTTGCTGGGTTTAGCTGCTATTCGGGACTACCCCTCACTTCCTGTCCAGAGACAAAGGTTTCACCAGACAGGAAGTTAGGGAAAAATCTCTATCAGCAATACAGAAATAAAAACGTTTTTTGTTAGTAGAGTGAGGAAAGGTTAGAACCCCTGTATGTTATATTTAAGTGTGTGTATAAATGTGATGTAGTGGTCCAAATTATTATTTTTTTTCTTCTTCTTTTCAGAAAATAACATAAACTTGGAATCCCCTTCAACGTCGCAGCCTCCACGGATCACCCCCGATGGATATCAAGGCAAGCTACGTCCTGTAAGTGTTTCTGCTGAACCTTTAACCAAAACCAAAGTAGATAGTCTTATGCCTACAGGCATTCTACAGTAGAGGGTCAGAGACTATGGGCATTCTACAGTAGAGGGTCAGAGACTATGGGCATTCTACAGTAGATGGTCAGAGAGTATGGGCATTCTACAGGAAATGGTCAGAGACTATGGGTATTCTGCAAGAGATGGTCAGAGACTAAAGGCAAGCTACAAAAGAAGGTCAAAGACAGCAGGTATACTACAGCAGATGATCAGAGACTGCATAACATGGTATAGGAGGAGTTGGAGATTGGGGACATGCTTCAGGGGACAGTCGTAGACTGCAGACACATTACTGTACATGAGCCACTAGTGATCACTCTTATTGCAGCCCCCTAAAAATTGACTTTCATATTTGTTTCTGCACAATCCTTTCTAAAAGATTTTAAAAAAAAGAGTTGGGCAGCAACGAAAAAACTAAGATACTGTGAAATATACCAAACGATGTAGAATCCCGTCTACAGAATAGTTTTCCTTCATAAGCACCCGATCACAGAATAGTGTCTGCAGTTATCCCGAGTGCCGCACAATACTCCTCAAATTAGACCCAGGTTGGTCCCCAGGGGTTTATTGTGTTTTCTTCTCTCTCCTTCCAGGTGCGAGCGGCCCCACCACCGCCCACACAGGCCCACCGGCGGCAGCCGCCAGAAAAGACAGAAGATGTAGAAATTACATTGGTTTAACAACGGCGTCTGGAAAACTGCTGCAATCGCGCGCCAAATGCGTCATTTGGTCCGGATCTTTTAGGCACCTTCTGCATGTCGAGATCCTGAGAGACGGGACGGAGAACACACGATGGACATTTTTGTGCCTTTTTTTTGTTTTTGTTTTTATGTTTTAATTCAAGTGGAATCTGAGCTCCCCGAGTGGACACTAATAGGGTTGTAAGTGCAATCGCAGGCGCCGTCATAGCAGTAGTGTAGTATTGCAGCTCGGGCACCTTCAGATTTTCTTTCTTCTGAAAGTTTTTTAATTTTCCTTATTTCTGTCCCTATTCTTAGACATATCTTACCTGGTAGTAAGAATACCGGGTCAGCTTTTAGTAAACGGAATAATGGATCAGTGAACCTATAATACAAATTGCCTTAAGTTGTGGAATACCTCTTAACGCTCTGTGTTGCTAGATGCGGGCCTGATGATCGACATTGTATTAAGTTTTGCTCTACAGCAGCCTACATTGTGCTGGAATCGGCCATATTGGGCTGGAGAAGGATTCGTTTTTTTAGTTTTTAGAATGATTAGTAATCAGATAGGTCAGCGGCCATTGTGGTAAGTGGGCTGTGTATAGGGGAATATCTTTGTCGCCCCCCAGGATCAGAGCAGCATAAGTTTGATAGACTGTAGATACTGTTACATGTATATAGGCGAACATTGTATCATAATCACCAATAAGTAGCTTTCACAGGGCTGGCAAGACAGCTTGAAGTGTTTGATACTGTGTGAGCAATGAGTATGAAGCCAATTTCGTCCTTACCAGTGGCGTAACTATGGCCCCATTAGGTTGTTTTTGGCAAATTAACATGGAACAGAGTGGTTGCAGTTCTCCAATACACAAGAGGAGGCTTTGGGATCTTGGCATCATCATAGCTCCGAGAGAGGCCATCAGGAGGGCCCCCATTACATTTTTTTTCTAGGGGACCCGTTATCTGTAGTTATGGCCATGGCCCTTACCTTCCATATAGTTTGCCATCTTAGGCAAAATGTGCTTTGTGTAGCACCTCGGTTATTTTCAGTTCACATATTTAGTTAATCTTTCATAGAGTTGAACTCCGGCATAAGCAAAAACACAAGAGAGTATTCTGACTTGAATGTTGCTGAGCTTTTTGTTTTAATTCCAGATCTGTGCAGTAATCCAGCGTGAGACATGGAGCTTCCTGTAATAAAGACCGCTCACTGCTGCTCTCTCTCCTTGTGCGGGGTGACTGGTCTTTTCTCCGCCCCCTCCTGTAATAAAGACCGCTCACTGCTGATCTCTCTCCTTGTGCAGGGTGATTGGTCTTGTCTCCGCCCCCTCCTGTATTAAAGACCAGTCACTGCTACTCTCTCTGCTTGTGCAGGGTGACTGGTCTGGTCTCTGCCCCCTCCATTAATAAAGACCGCTCACTACTGCTCTCTCTGCTTGTGCAGGGTGACTCGTCTTTTCCCCGCCCCCTCCTGTACTTTTCTGCAGGCAGCCTCTTGTGGGTGGAGCCTGCTGGGCCCCTCCCATAACTCCCCTCTCTGCACAGGCAATATATAGCACAGTGATGATTTCAATGCTACTTTTAATTTCTTATTTCTGGGTTTCTAAAGGCTTTTGATGCACAATAAGTAGATTCATATCCTTAGTGGTTATAGAGAAGCATGCATAAAGTTTTTGTGCCCGGAGTTCAGCTTTAAAGCAAGGCATTTTTGTAGTTTCACTGACCTGTAACATACAAGGTAGTGATCATAAAAATGCCGTTAGTATTCTGTACTAGTAGGTCCCATTTTTTTGGTGCAGTACTTAGATATGCAATGCCATGTCTGCCCCCTGGTACAACATATTTCCTGATGTGAGCCATTTCAGGCTGTGTGATGCCCTGGCAGGACTTCAGTTGCGTTTAGGTAGATCTCAGGTTTATCTGTTATATCAAAATTTCTGAAACATATCAAATCGTACTTCAGAATGTTATTAAGTTTCTGTATTTGTATTGAATCAAGTTGTCAGTTAGGTTCACTGATCCATTAAGCCAATTAGGTTGTGAGTTGGGTGACATGAAGGTGTTTGGAGGAACCTCTGTCTCTGATGTTACAGGAAAAGTGTCCAGCTAACAGAAACCTGCACTGGGAGATGTATGTGTGATGTATGTGTGATGTATGTGTGATGTGATGTATGTGTGATGCCATTGCAGACCTCTCCTTCTGTAAAATGCTAGCTGCCTTTTTGATGTTATATCTTCAACACTGTCATTGGCCCAGAAGTAGTATGTAAACCTTTCCTGACTTATACCCTATATCATTAGCTGCATGATTGTTCCAGGTCAAGGTCGCAAGTAAGTTGTGTCATCTATATCAGTGGTTCTCAACCTGTGTAGCCTCAGGACCCACATTTGTCCTTGGTTATTAAGTCATGACCCAAGTCGCACCGCACTGGAACCGATGCGGTACCGTGCGTTCCAGTGCGGGCGTTAGAACTGTGAGTGGGAGGTGCGTTTGGGTTGCCATTTAAATGAATGGCAATGCAACACACCTCCCACACCAGAATTCGCAGTGGGTGCAATTTTGCATGGTACATTGCATTAACCGCATGGGACTGTGCAATTAACGCACTGTTTTTGAGGGCCCATAGTGTGAACGGGCCCTCAAAAACACTGACAGACATACACAACCACAGACACAATCTCACACACTTACAGACATTCTCACTCTCCCTATCTTATGAGAACTGGAGTGGATCCTCAGCCTGGGGTCCAGTTTGGGCTACTGTGCTGTGGCGGAGCTCCATCCATATGCGCATTGCTGGGACAGCACCCTTGCGTGCCCTGTAGAGGTGATGTTACTCGGGTCCAGGCACCTCTACAGGACTTGTGAGAGAGCTGTAAGCAATGCATGTATGGATGGAGCTCCCTCATAGCCCTATCCTATCCCACCTTAAGCTGACACTCGGCACCGGGCAGCATATTTTGAATGGCTGCTTGACGTGAGAACGGACAATGTTGCGCTAGGGGGAGGCTGAGGAGCCTCTCATCTAGAAAAGTGGAAGTCATGTGCTGACCCACTGAACACGACCCACCAGTTGAGAACCAAGGATCTAGAGGATCAACATAACAGCCAGGAAGTTAGCATTTGCAGAAGGAGATCAGTAATTTCACTAAATGTTTATTTTAGTAGCCAGCACATCCAAACTAGAAGCCAGTATGCACTTTTTTTTGGAAACAGGAAGCGCATTGAAAAAGCACTAAAATGTCAGTTCACTGATGACCTGACTCTGGGTCATCATGCATGCCCCACAACGACTGGACAGCTTGCTTTCCTGTTTATAATGCATCTGCTTCCTATAGGCATCAGTAGCTCCTTCCTTCACACACTTTCATCCATAAGACCTCTTTAATATATCGCTGTGTGGTTGTATCTGCTCACTGAGTCCCTTAATGCAATGCTTCAGCAACTGTCACGTGTGCACATACCCGCTAACAGAAAGTGTGTTTAAACCCATTTTCTCTCCCGTTCATTGAAGGACACAGCGGGGATCAGGATCTGTGCTATATCCTTCAGTGAACTCGGAAAGAAGGATTTCACGGTGAGTACAAAAAATCCTATTTTCAGTATGTTTGACTTTATTCCTCACGATACGCAGTTTTCTTAAGCTCATCTGTTTCAAAGTTTATTACCTGAAGATCCTTTCGGTAACAGAACTTACTTTTTCAAGTTGACAACACTTAGCAGCTGCCTTGCAATAAGCAAAAGTGACGTCAGGCTGCTGTGGGCACTCCTTTGGTCATTAAGCTGCCTATCTGATAGACCTGCTAGGCAGCCCATTGGCCAAACGCAACAGCACATGCAGCCGACTGACAACGTTAAGCCCCTGCCGCACAATTAGCAGAAGTGTTGTCAGCCTGCTGTGTGCACTTCTTCCATTGGCAACTGAGCTGACTATCTGATACACCTGCTAGACAGCCCGTTGGCCAACCAAAGGCGCGCACACAGCAGGCTGACAACACTTTTGATAATTGTGAGGCAAGGGCTTAACATTGTCAGCCAGCTGCGTGTGCTGTTGAGGTTGGCCATTGGGCTGCCTAGCAGGTCTATCAGGCAGCTCAATGGCCAATGGAATAAGCACACACAACAGACAACGCCACTTCTAATTGCAAAGCAGTGGCTTTGCATTGTCATCCAGCAGCAGGAAGTGCCACTACTGGCAGGATCTCTAGGTGAGAAACTTTGCAACTGATTCCCAAAAAAATGAATTGCTTAAGAAAACTGTATGAAGGGAGACACAATGCCAGACATACTGAAATAAAGGTTTGGGGTTTACATGCACTTTAAAAGAATTGAAAAGAGGAATACAGTCATACCATTTACACAGCACATGGAACAAATGGAGACATAAAAAAAAACAAGGGACAGAAATAAGGAAGCCTGTTATATTGGCCATACCTGTAATGTATTTATTGCAGCAAGCATTTCCTGACAATGGAAGCTACACTTCAAGGACTTGTTCACACCAGAGGTGATGTTGAGCTCTTTGAAGAATATCCAGCGCAGGTAAAATGAGGCAGGAAAATTTGTAGAGAAAATGAATTAAAAGATAATTGAATGGGAAAATGACATCTCCGTGGTCAGTAGGACTCGTTGCCACCAGCTTTTTTGCATTGGAAACGAGACCCACATGCTGCCTTTTGCCATCTGAAATGGGACTTTCTGAGAGCACGTCAACTTTAAGCCTTTTCTGAGACATTGCTGCCATTGCCAGTCCCTTTGTGAAGTTGCTTGGCTGCTACCCTGGCCAACAGGGTTTAGTCACTGCCCTGGAACAAGTATGCATATCTGTCAGGTGTCCATGCTTGCTCCAAGTAAGGGACACACATTATTAAAGCATTTACAGGATAAGTAGTGATGGCTGCCTCTATATCTCTCAGAGATAGGTCTGGTGTGAACAAGCCCTCAGGCCAATCGCTGCTGTGACTTCGCCTTGAGATTGCACCTGATGGGGAGCTGCGGAGAGAGGCACCTTCCGTATTTTGTACGGGGGGATATAGACGGTCCTCATAGAATACTTCTATCATGCGTGTTAGTACAGTATATTACTGTGGTCATAGGAATGTGTTAAAATAATCTTGCCCCCCCTCTCAGTTATCTGTATATTAAAAAAAAAAAAAGCTATCCATTGAACCCCCCCCACTTCTGCCAAATGGGAATGCTCGGGCATTGCAGCGCAGTGCACCGGCAGCCAGCGTTTGCCAAGGGAACTGGT